AAATCTTATTCTTGAACTGCTGTTAGGTTTCACCTTGAAAAATCACTCCTGGCTTTCAAAGAACAGCGTTTCATGGCTAATAATAATAATAATAAGTTGATAATTTAGCAGATGTTGACCATGGTCACAGAGAAATCTCAATCTTCTCATTGCAAATTTAGTTTGCTTTGACCTGGAATCACTGGGAGACATCTTGGCATCTCAGTGTTGCTGGTGGAGCTGGATGCTCCCTGTTTTAGGGATGTCTGACAGTTCCTCTCAAAAGTCTTTCCCTCAGTTGATTGATACTTCAGCAAACATTAATTTGAGGGGTGAAATTTTCCCTGCCAGTTTTCTGCCTCCTCAGACTGATATTTTTAAAGTCCCAGCCAAAATTGTTGGGAGCAGGAAGCTGGAGAAAAACATGTTTTCCATACTAAAATATTTCTCCCAGCCTATCTACGAGGAGCTCTGGTCCCTCCCCACTGCAGGAAGGAGGCGTCTTTTTGCGCATATCCTGCTTTTTTTTTTTTATCTCCCTGTGGAAATTTCCCTGGCTTTTCTTAATTTACAGACATCAACAAAAAACCACAAAAAAAAACAACTAACCAAAAACCAACACACATTTGGGAGAGATGTCACAGCATTTGAAAGCTGGAGCCTTCAAGAGATGCTGCAGGGTTTGTGTGGTGCTGCTCTGACTGCGCCTGGCCTGGGGCTGCAACCTGTTTTCCAGTGAAACCCAAGAGACAGGGATACTCCTTCCCATCCAGGCTGATGTTTGCTCTTTAAAAATTTGGGAATCGAGCTCCCCAGGGGTTTGAAAGCAATTACACCCAGTGAGATGAGGAGGGACAAGCTGCCCCGCTGGAAGGCAAAAATCAAAAAAATCAAATGTTAAGAGTGGAAAGAAAGAAGGGTGGGACAGAGAGAGAGGAAGAAGGGAGCTGATGGGGGTAGAAATGTTTTAGGGCTGCTCAGACACATCAGAGGGGGAGATGGGGCCAGGAGCCTGGTGGGATGTACCTGGATCTGTAGCCACAGAGTTGGGTGAGGGGCTGGCAGAAGAGGGGTTCCCCAGGGGAGTCAGACCCACCTGGTGATGAGAGGGAGAGTCATAGCCCTAAAATAATTCCCACTGCTTGGCCCAAGTACTATTTGCCATACCACAAACCAGCAGGGTGACTATTTAAAGGCTGAGCCATGGGCTACAATCATAGAATCATCATCTCCCAGAACAGTTTGGGTTGGAAGGGACCTTAAAAACCATCTAGTCCAACCCCCTGCCACGGGCAGGGACACCTTACAATAAATACACCTTACAATAAATGCAGCTGCAGCCCTCCTCCTTTTCCCTGGATCTCATTTTTAACGTCCTCCACACAGCACATGATCCCACAGCTCCTTATTTCCCAGTAACACTCAGCTTGGAGCACAACAGCCCTGTTAAACTCCCCAGAACAAAGTGCTTGGTGGTGGATTTTCACATCCCAGCAAAGCCCAGGGAACATCCACTTCTGCAGCGTCAGGTATTAGCAAGGAACAAGACACACACACACTTGGAGGGAAGGAAAAGAGAGGAAATCAAGCTGCTTTCATGTGCTCTTTGTAATTATTTTCCCCCTGTTGTTCAGAATTCAAGTTTTTAAAAAAAAAAAAAGACAGAAAAAAAAGAAGAAGGAAAAGAGAGCTCTAACATTTACTGGCAGTAATCATTGCACCATCTGCTCCGGGAGCTGCTTCCAGAACACACGTTCTCAGCTGCTGAGCAGTCAGCTCTCCTCTCCCTTCCTCTCAGAGACAGGGATGCCAGCAGTTCCTAAACTGTAACAGCATGAACAAGCCTTTTGGTTTTTGGTTTTGTTTTTTTTTCCCCCCCCCCCTTTTTTTTTCTTTCAGTCACTGGAAGGTTTTTTTTTTTTTTTTTTTTTTTTTGAGAAGGCAGGAGAGTTTGGACTTTTCACCAGATTGTTTTAAAGACTGAGCTCTTCCCGACATGAGGGTTCTTCATCTGAGTGGGAGTGGTAAAAATGGGAAAAATATTCATATTTTAATATTTTGGGGATTTGCTTTGTAGTAGAGCTTCACTGGCACCTGTGCTGCTCTCAAGGATGGATTTAACCTGTGTTTCTTTAGCTGTGCCTATGGAAAAGCTTTCCTGGTGGGATACCCTCATGCCCCAAGGCATGGACACCTTGGATTTCTGCTTTTATAATCTGTAACACTGAGCTCAACACCAGCTTCCTCCCCTTTTCTTCCACATGCTAAGTCAGCGCTGAGCTGTTCAACATCCCTGTCTCCCCTCCAAGAGCCCAAATCCATCTGTGAGTCACAGGATATAAAGCAGGAGGAGGTTCCTCACCACCAAATGGGCTTTGTTGGCTGAAAGGAGCTGGGACAGCCTGAGTTGCCTTCTCCATGTGCTCCTTTTTTGCTGCCCTTTGGCTACTGGGGACAGGGGCACTTAAGGAAATATATGGCTGATTTAGAGGGTAACATTAATTAGCTCCTCCTGTCCTCGAGTGTTTCTGTGTCACTGACTCCCCAGTCTATGGCTCTTGTTTCTCTTGTTTCTCTTGTTTCCGTTGTTTCTCTCAGCAATAATAACCCACAATCTCTGTTTGTACATTTAAATTCAGAAGGAAAAAACATCCATCAGTGAAAGCCCCTATTCAATCCTCCCACTGCAGAGCCAGTGCTTTCCAAAGAAATGAGGCAGAGTGAATGCAGAACCCATTAGGCCTGTCCCAGGAGGCAGGATCTATATGCTCACAGATGTACTTACAGTAGGAAATCTGCATTAGGGAAAAAAATTCCTGCTTGACCGACGGTATTTGTGCTAAACCACACGATTTCAAGTGCAGCTTTGTAGGGAGAAGTGACTCTGTGGGATGGCTTTGTGTGATTTTATGTGTTTTTCATTGCATCAAGAGCAAATTTACTCCTTTGCAAGTGGCAGAAATGTGATTTCTCTCTCAGCCTCTCATACTTCTCTTATTTCCATAGCCCAGGCTGGATCTGAATGAGTGTTTTCCCATCCACAAATCAGGGTTGGGATGTTTTTTTTGCTCAGCATTTGATCCAACTGAACTGTAATGCAGATCACAGAGGTTGGAGCCTCAAAACCACTTTGGGAATATCTCTTGTTTCTCAAGGCAGTGCCTGTGTGAATAAGCCTCTGTATTTTCACAGGATGTGACACTTGGACCAGTTCTTGCCTGCCGTTTAAGAAAATGTCAACCTCTGAGGTCAAATGAGTCGGAGAGGCTATTTATAAAAAGGTTAGAGAAGCCAAATATTTATTGTCCTCACAGCACAGGATAGTGACACAGGGCAAATCAGAAGGGACTGGGAAGACAAGAAGTGGAGGACAAAGAAATGAGGAAGCAGGGAAAAGAGGAAAAGAGAAAAATGGGAAGACGTTTGTGTTTGTGCCTATCACAAATATTCCCTGTTCAAGGGAAGCCCATCCCCTGACCTTCTGTTGCTCATGGAGACAGGAGCTCCTTACTGTACCTCCCCACATGATTCTTAGATGTAGGGCTATGTGGGAAAGGGGAACAGGAAAATCCCCTGCAGGATGGCTGATTTTTAGGACGTAAAGCCTTGTCACACCCTGGGATGGGCAGGTGCTGATTTTTTTATCAGGTGAGTGGCCACGTCACACAGACTCTGCAGGACTAGCTCAGCCATGGAACACAAAGCTTTACTTGCTGAGGAAAATTAGGAACAATCCATGGGAGGTTGGGAAAGAATGAACTGAATGACCTTATTCCCTCAATAGGAGCACAGATGCCATAAGTGTGTGTTAAGGGCAGCAGATTTGAGACCATCCGTGGTGGGAGAGGCCATGCTGACTTGTGATCTCAGATATAACACTTGGACGAGTATGGGAAATCCTTTAATGTGTTTTTCCTGCCCACTCCAAGTTCTCTTGCTGGTGGAACCCCCATTGCTTCCCCTGGAGAAAGGACAGCCTGGCAGGGCTGGCATCTGCTGGTGCCCACGGCCTTGATCACAGCAAGCGCTTGGACCGAGTCCCCTCTTTCCCCCTGTAAATCCCTCAAAGGGCCCACACGGAGATGGACTCAAAGGGACAGCAACAGGGAAGCAGTTGTTGTCCAAAGGAAGGAGTCGAGGGCTGTTGGGAACGCTGTGATTCCTCGGAGCAACATGTCCTGGTGCAGCCCTGCCCTGCCAAGAGAGGCACCGAGCCACACACAGCAGCTCCAAATGCTCCGCTGGCTTCAAAGCAAGGAAAACAGAGGGAGAGGGCAGAGACCCCAGTGGAGACTGGGGAGGTGTTTTGGGGAGCAGTGTTTTGGGGAGCCCCATAATTTCTGCTCTCTGTAAGCACCTAACTGAACAATTTTTGAGGTTTCATAACGCTCTTAATTAGGCCAAACTTAAAAAAGGACCACTTGGCACCCTCGGCGGCGAGAGCCATGTGCTACCTGCAGCAGGCCAACTCCAAAACGCAACTGATTTTTCTCTCTTACCTACGTTCTGCATTCAAGCAGCTGCTCCTAACAGGTGCTTGCTCTCTTCTGAGCAGATGGCAACGAAAAAAACGGGATTGTTGGCAGGTTTTGCCACGGAGCAGCCTCCTTATCACACATAGTGGTGTGTATACAAACACACACGTGCTCTCAGGCTCTCGGTTTAAGAAGTAATTCTCCTTCTGATACAAGGTCAGTCATGTGGGGGGGCTTAGCCAGGATGGGCTGTGCTTCTCTCTTTTCTTTCCTGGGTCTAAAGGCATTTGGGACTTTGCTGCCACATCAAAACCTCACAAATTTGGCTGTTAGTTCAGCTCTTCTGCTGTATCTAAAGCACTGTGTTTTAGGAGGATTATGTAGGCTGTGTACCTTCATATTTATCATACATCTCCAATAGCTTAAATAGCAATTAACTAGAAATCAGGCAGGTTTTAGGTGGGGAAAAACCCTGATGTTTTTCTCTTTCCTCTTGTTTATGGTAATATAGTCAAAATGCAGGAAACAAATCATAGAATCATAGAATGGGCTGGAAGGGATCTTAAAGATCATCTCATTTCAAGGATCTCTTCAGCCTTAACTAAAACAACCAGGTGAAAATCTGCAGGGGAGTACAGACTCAGCAATGCCTTTGAAGAAAGAAATATAACAGTGTTTTATCACTGGGAGATGCACCCAGGACTTTGAGGGCCAAAATGTGCTCAAAGCTGCCACGGGAAAGTACTCGGGGAGATGATTTGTGCTGTATCCATCACCTGAAGAGAGACAGCTGTCAAACAAATCCTTCTATACCTTTTTATTCTTGACTCTTCTTCCACCTCCCAGATTTTGCCTGCTGAGGGCTGAAAACGGTGCAAAGCAATGCCAGGTTTGCCCAGAAGACCTTTCCTACTTCTGTTCCTTGTGCAAGAAGCACCAGGCAGAGCCATCCTGGCCCTGCTTTGCTGTTCATTTCAAAGGAGCAGCCTGAGCCAAGAGAGCCAGATGAGGGTGACATCTGGCCATGGAAGCTCTGCCAAGTCACTGCTGTTCTGTAGCTGGCAGGAAGATGATGTGCTGCAAATGCCAGGTTCTCTCTGAAATGTAAAGTGCATTCCCTGCATTTTCTTTGCTTCTCATCCAGCCTCAATCAGCTCAGTGTTTTGTTTTACTAATGGCCAGATTCAAATCTCCTTTCCAGGCACATAAATCCATTTCATTGGTGGTGGGAGCTTTATACAATGGGTGGAATTTGACCCTGAAGTCCAAAATGGTCTTGTGTTTTCTGAGCTTACTGACAAATTAACTTGTTGCAAGTCAATCTCATTCAAATCCCCTCTCCTGTGGGGTGTGTTTGTGGTGAGGGTTGCTAATCACATCTATGGGAGTTGTTTGTGTCTAAACTCTTCCAGGAAGGAGTAGGCAGAGCTTGGAGTGGGTGGTTAAGCTAAAGAAGCTCTGGAGGTTTCCTTCAGTGGTATTTTTCTCCAAGCCTAAGGTGCACCTCTAATAAAAAAATCACTCTAGCTGGTGAAAAGAGCTTGTGGAATAAATCTGTTGCTGATCAAAGGTATGTGGAGTTAAAAAGTAGCTTGTGGGGTTGGCACTAGATGATCTTTAAGGTCCCTTCCAACCCAAACCACTCTGTAATTCTGTGATTCTGGGTTCTAGGTCCCCTGTACACACAGTTGCTCTCTGTGTGCTCAGAAGCAGTAGTTACACAGAAGATGCTCATTCAGGGATGGTGTGTCAAGGAGCTGAAGCTGAAGGATTTTCCCTGTTTTCTTATGAAGGATTTTTATTTTCACCCTCGTTGCTGTACTTTCATTTTTAGTGGCTGCCAAACTGAGCTGGTTTTGCAGCTGATGTTCCATCCAAGTGTTTTGTTTTTTTTTCCTCCTGCTCTAGTAAAATAGTTTTGCTGCACTGAACCAATTTTCTGAATTGGAGAAGAAAGGGGATTGTGTTAAATCATTGCCAGGCTGGGAGAGCTGGGGGGGTTCACCTGGAGAAGAGAAGGCTCCAGGGAAACTTCAGAGCCTCTTCCAGTGCTTAAAGGGGCTCCAAGGGAGCTGGAAAAGGACTTTGGACAAGGGATGGAGGGACAGGAGAAGAGAGAATGGCTTCCCACTGCCAGAGGGCAGGGATAGATGGGATATTGGGAAGCAATTCTTTACTCAGAGGGTAGTGAGGCCCTGACATCTGTGGCTACCCCATCCCTGGATGTGTTCCAGGCCAGGTTGGATGCGGCTTGGAGCAACCTGGTTTAGTGGAAGAGTCTGTAGATGCATAGGGATTGGAGAAACTGGATTAATTGTGTGTTATTTTGCTGTGCTTAACCATGCCAGTAACTCTCCAGCAGTTTTATCTTCACAGATAACTTCTGTGGAGCTGATTCCAGAGGAATGTTTGTTGGGATGTGGCCCTAGCAAGGTGATGCAGTGAGTGCCCCTGGATTTAGTAGCCTCTGTGTGACCCCAGCTGTGCCTTTTTCCCTTTTGTGCTGTATCAGTTCTGCCTGTTTTGGTGCCTGGACTGACTGCTGGGCTTTAATTCTGATGCACAAATGTCACAGTGACATTTGTGATATCCTGGAGAGGCATCTTCCATCCTTTTGGTGTCATTCCAGTGGGATGGGGGTCCCCATTTGTGTTTTATCAGACCTGCCAGCCTCCTGAGCATGTCTTTGGTTCCTGGAGCTCCTTGCATCCATGGGATTCACTGCAATAAAAGCAAAGTGTGTGACTGAGAGCATTACCCTGCCTTCTGTGCTCATTCAGTTGATTTCAGCATCGAATAAGCCAAACCAAACTGATCTCTATGGAAGTTCTCAGGACTGAACATGCTTATTCAAAAGGTGTTTGCATCTGCTGGCTCACACACAGCAAATTCAAACCATAACCGTTTTACTTTTTATTTTATCAAACGTTACCCTCTGTCTATTCCACGGGAATAAGTGAGAATATTTTGAATTAATATCAAGTTTTACTGAAGATTTGTGAAATAGGAGGGATCTTTGCATTGAAAGATATGTATTGATACCATTTGAAGCCACCAAGCTGATTGGAGGGGTGGAGCACCTTTCATGTAAGGAAAGGTTGAGAAAATTGAGGTTGTTCAGTCTGGAGAAGAGAAGGGTTTGGGGTGACTTAATTGCAGCCTTCCAGTACCTGAAAGGGAACTGAGAGGAAAGATGAAGAGAGACTTTTTACAGTAGCCTGGAGGGACAGGACACAGGGAATGGCTTCCCACTGCCAGAGGGCAGGGATTGATGGGGTATTGGGAAGAAATTCTTGGTTGTGAGGGTGGTGAGGCCCTGGCACAGGTTTCCCAGAGAAGCTGTGGCTGCCCCATCCTTGGAATTGTCCAAGGTCAGGTTGGATGGGGCTTGGAACAGCTTGAGCTAGTGGAAGGTGTCCCTGCCCATGGTGGGGGTTTAGAACTGGATATCTTTAAAGTCCCTTCCAACCCAGGCCATTCCATGATTCTATGACTCACATTCAGTGCTACATAACTGCTCAACATGAAATATCACCCTGAATATCTAATTAAATCTGTGTATCTTTAGATTCTGTCCTTATCAATTATCTTAATGCACGCTCCTGTAAAATAATCAGGAATTACTGTGGCAGTATGTTTTATTGTCTGCCAAAAAATAAATTACTTGATATTATCCCAGCATTTGAGAGCAAACTTATTTTCCCAGAAAAGATAACAAACAGCTAATTCAGGTTTTCCAAGGCACGTGCACCGTTATCGTTCGTAAGAAGCTTAACCAACCTGAAAGCAAATGCTAAATGATCCAGATCTTGGGCTTATTAAGCTTATGTGTTTTTTCTACCACTTAAAAGCCTATCAAAAACCTAAAGATGTGGGTAAATGAGATTTTCTGGGAGGCTTTAAAGTTTCCCTCCTTCCCTTTTTAAAGCACAGAGGCGATGCCTCTGTTTACGTGTCATTTGTGGAGCTCAAACGGAGCGAGTACGTCCCTGCTGCAGTTTCATGGAACATCCTTTGTTTATTCACACTGTGCCACTTTTAAACTTCAGATGTAAACAACAAAGGCTTCTTTGTATTTCACACTATCTCATACTCACTACCTTCTGAAGTCCAAAGCCAAAACACTGCGGAATTTTACCCTCCTCACACTTTCTTCTGCTTGTCAGATGCGTTCTTCCAGCCTTTTCTATTTATAGGAGCTGGAAAACTACTTATCTCCTGATTATAACGTGCTCTGTTCATTTTCTCTTGACTTTTCAGTCATTGGTATGGTCTAAAATTGTATTGCCTGGTAGCCATTTCAGATATAATTTTAGTAGTAATTATACATGTATTCTGTAACAGAAACAATTTGTCATCCTGAAATATCCAAATTGCTTTAAAGTATTCGACCTGTGTGTGATCTGTTACATGGATGAGAAATCCAGCAAATATTCCACTGAAATCAGCTGGACAGGAAGGTCAGAAGGAGCCAGGCTGGAAATGCAGCAGCTGTCTGCCAACACACGTTTGGGGCACAAGATTTTGGTTTTCATTTCAAAGCAGAGTGGGAATTTTAGTTGGAAGTTTCACAGAGCTTTAGCTGTGCTGATCCTTGAGATCCAGCACTGGGATATTCACCGTGCTTTACAGCCACTGGGAAGGACCTCAGCTTTATGTTTCATTTGACATGGAACAAGTCATGGTGTTCAGACCAATCTCGTGCTTGGATCCATCCCCCCCTCTCTGTTTGCTGATGTTTAGAGAAGGTAGCCAAGGATCTTTGCTCCTCTTCTCCCATTCTGTGCTTATCTCCTTGGGAAAAAAAAAACAGACTATCCAGAAAACCGGAGTAACATGGAGTTGATTTTTTCCTTTCCCAGGAACAAGTTGGATCCTTTGTCATCTCTTTTCCTTAAGCTGCATTTGAGCACAAGTGAGGTCTGATGAGCCTGTGCTTTGAATCCTGGGGGCTGGAGCATGTCCAGGGAAGGGAACAGAGCTGGGGAAGGGGCTGGAGCACCAGGAGAGGCTGAGGGAGCTGGGGGGGCTCAGCCTGGAGAAAAGGAGGCTCAGGGGGGACCTTCTTGGTCTCCACGACTCCCTGACAGGAGTGGGGAGTTGGGAGTGGAACAAGGGAACAAGGGACAGGATGAGAGGGAATGGCCTCAAGCTGTGCCAAGGGAGGTTTAGGTTGGATATTGGGAACAATTCCCTCATGGAAAGAGTTGTCCAGCCCAGGGCAGTGATGAAGTCCCCATCCCTGGAGGGATTTAAAAGCCCTGTCGATGTGGCACTTGGGGACACGGGTTAGTGGTGGCCTTGGCAGTGCTGGGAAATGGTTGGACTCGAGGTCTTTTCCAACTCAGAGGTCTTTCCCAACCTAAATGATTCTGTGATTCTATGATTCTGTTTGAGTGGAACATTCTATATAAACCATGATTAATGGCTTTGCTGTAAACTGGTAGGAGCGTTAGGTCCATGTTAGATCCCTCTGGGATATTTCCTCATATAAGAAACCAGCAACACAGAGTGAAAATAATGGTGACAGCAGCAGTAGTTTAGTAGGTGAGTCCAGTGGTGGGTGTTCAAGGTGAGTTGTTGACCTCTCCAGAGTATGGACAGCGCAGTACAAATGATTTCCCAGCTATTTGGGGGATGAAATGCTTTAGCTTTACAAACTAATGGTCATGGGAGGCTGAATAGAAAGGCTGAGCTTGTTATTAGAGGCAAAATAAGTGGCAGAGGTGACAGGTTGCCCAACAATTTCCATAATAAGGATATTTCAGGATATTCCAATATAGCGATTTTTATGATTTTGGAAGTAAATATTTGTGCTTAGTAGTTTTTCTCTCCAACCACAACAGAAGTAATTTCTGGATTTTTCAGGATGGGTTTAGGAAAAGAGAAATTGTTTCTTTGAAAAATTCATTTATATTCCTGAGAAACTGTCATGCTTATATATCATGGAAGAAATACTTGATATAAATCCAGTGTTGACTCCAGTGAGAAAAACAACATGATGGCAGAGCTGAACTGAGCCCTCTGCGTTCACTGTGTGAAATGAACATTTTCACTTCTACATCGCAGTTCCCTTGAATGAAAAATAATTGGAGTGCCTTCCATTTATTGCCAGTGGTTCATACACAGGGGAGCACCTTTACACAGGGAGGTCTGCACCCTGCAACTAGTGTGGAACAGACATAACTGAGTTAATGGGGGTGGTAAAGTCTTGTCAACACGGCATTTATTCATGAAGTGTTTTATTGTGCCCACAGGCAGCCTGGAGTTGCCTGATCTTACATTACTTTTGGATGTGAGTCAGCTCCTCAGGCTGCCCCACCTGGAGATACCATTTGTGGTCTTCGGCAGCGTGGAAGGTTCTGCACTAACCTGCTCCATAAGTGGGTTGTTTGCAGTGGCCCCAGCTCAGTTTGGCCCTGGCCATTTTTATTTCAGGAATCTGAGAGTAATGGATGGGTGATTAGTGGAGGAGACTCTGCTGTCTCCAACCATGGAATAGATTTTAGCTTTAGATCACTGGGAGTCAGAACGGGGCACGTCTTTTCTTAGCCATCATAAATTATCCATGCAGGATATGCAGTAAAAGGCTGTTTGGCTGCGTTAAAATTGGCCAGACAAACAGAATTTCCATCTCTCTCAATGGTTCCTTCAACACCTAATTAGTTCCCAGATGCTGGTTGAGCAAGATGTCTTTTATCTTTGCTAATGTTATCTTCCTATCCCTCCTAAATGCCCCCTGGTGCCATTCCCCACTTTCATGTCTCTTCCCTCTGGAGAAGGCAGGATGGGTGTTCAGGAAACTCGATGCTGAAGGTCAAGCTTGTAAAGACTGTGGGTCAAGCTGATCCTGTTATACCAGGCAGTATCTGGAGCAAAAGCTTTGAATCCAGAATTAGATGGGTATGATGGAGAGCAGGATATAACTTCCTTCCTATGCACGTTCACAGGAGCAGTATCCAACAGGAAAAAATAGATTTTATTCTGCTGTCAGTCCCATTTAATACAATTTAGACCAAATTCAAAGCTCATCTTTCCCCGTTGCTAGAAGGTACAACCAAGCCTGTCTGGATAAATGTGCTGTTTCAGCTGGCTCAGCTGATTGTTGTGGGCAATGGGGAAGCAAACTCAGATGGGGAATAGTAGGAAATATCAGACTAACTGCTCTCCTGATCCTTCCTAGACCCTCTGAGCACAACCACTTGGGGCCTCAGATATGTTAATGCCAGGCTATCAGCCAGCTGTGATTTACCTTGGCAGGACTGATGTAGATCCAAGCCCAGCAATCCTTTCTCCTCTGGCAGGAGGGAGTGACCAAACAGGCTGCTCTGAGCTAAGTGTTTAAGGGAAAAGCATTTCAGAGAGAGCAGATCTTCAAACTGAGGGAATAGACTATAAATACATTCACAGCTTTCCCCCAAGGCTCCTGGGCTGTGTTTCCAGCCAGGTTCAGTTCACTTAACTCCTGTGATGTGTTCTGTTGTGTGGGAGGGTTTTGTCAATAGGAAAAAGCTCTGACAAAGTCAGTTTTGGAGTTTTATGGATGAGAATCAGGATTCTTCAGCTGAGATTTTGCACCACCCTCTTTTTCTCTTGTATTGCCTTCATATCCGTATTTTCTCTGTGCTGCGCTGGAAGTATACATTCCTATGGACAATTCCACATGAACAATTCCAGCAGGTTCATGTAACAGCATCTCTCCTTTTTGGCCAGGCAATGGATAGTCCCTGCAGGATGTATCCTGGGCTACATCCCCACAGTGTGGGAAGCAGGATGAGGGAGATTCTCCCTCTATACTCTGCTCAGGTGAGACCCCACCTGCAGAGCTGCCTCCAGCTCTGGGGAACAACAGCAGAAGGATGTGGAGCTGCTGGAGCAAGTCCAGAGGAGGCCATGGGGATGCTCTGAGGGCTGGAGCCCCTCTGCTCTGGAGCCAGGCTGGGAGAGCTGGGGGGGTTCACCTGGAGAAGAGAAGGCTCCAGGGAAAACTTGGAGCCCCTTCCAGTGCCTAAAGGGGCTCCCAGAGAGCTGGAGAGGGACTGGGGACAAGGCCTGGAGGGACAGGACAAGGGAGAATGGCTTCAAGCTGACAGGGACAGGGTTAGATGGGATCCTGGGAAGGAATTCCTGACTGTGAGGGTGTGAGGCCCTGGCACAGGTTTCCCAGAAAAGCTGTGGTTGCCCCTGAATCCCTGGAAGTGTTCAAGGCCAGGTTGGACGGGGCTTGGAACAACATGGAGTAGTGGAAGATGTCCCTGCTGATGGCAGGGAGTGGAAGAAAATGAACTTTTAGGTTCCTTCCCACCCAAACCATTCCGTGATTCCATGATCTTTGTGTCTTCAGATTGTGCTGTGTGACTATAATGTCATCATGTAGCAGCTTGTTTTCTATCCCAGCAAAGACCAAGGAAAGCTGTGGAGTTGAGGAGTTTTGCCATTTCTGCTCTTAGCTCCATATACCTAATCTATGAAGGATGAGGAATTTATACCCACATAATTCCACCATTCCCAGATTTGCCAGAGGCACACTGCAAGGTGGGTTCTGAGCCTAGACAGCTTCCCTGCAAGGATATTAATAATACTTAGAAATTCTAAAGCACTCCAAAGGCCTGTGTGAGCATTAGCTAATTATGTAGCACTCCAAAGCCCTGTGCAGAGCATTAGCTGATCAATTCTTGCAGCACCTATCAAATATACCAATATCTTGGAGTCCACTGTGAGGAGGTATCTGGAAACAGGAGAATTTGGATATCTGATCCCAGTCCTTGCCACTGCGCAGGGTGGTAGCTGGGGTTAGACTTCACTTGCCAGCCCCTGCTCCCACATTTTCCTTGGTAGGATCCAAAAGGAGGTCACCTACGTGGGTACAAATGAAGATTTTTCCAGAGAAGCAGGATTTCAGCTCGTCCCAGGGCTTGTAGAGGTTGTTGGCATCAAATAATTTGGAAAAGCCAATATCAATAAGCAATATGGAGAAGACTGGGCCCAGCACGACAAACTGAGGTGCTCCAGCCAACTAAAGGCAGCATAAAGGAAACAATTTAAAATAATATATCCTTGAGATGCGATAGAGCAGAGTGGGCTCTCCAAAAAGGACAAAGAGAATGAGGAGAAGGAGGACATAAATGAGGGAGAAAATAAAACGTTTTTAACTGCACATTATTAAGGCTTTATGCTACTCATCATGTGGACCCAAGTTAGTTCCTCTGGATCAAGTGAGCTAAATTTTTGCTCCCAAATCTGCCAGCAACAAATCCACAAACCTGGCAAAGTCAGTTAAGTTGTTTTCCAGTTAAAAATATAACAGTAATCATGTATCCAGGATGTACACATCCTACAGAGGATCAAGTTCATGTAACAAATTCCTGCAGGTCTTCTGCTGAAACAGTGCAGCTCCTTTAATTCTTAGTGATTTTGGAAGTAGAGCTGAATTTTGGTATTGCTGATGGTATAAAATTTTCAGTAGCCTTTATAATAGAGGCCCTACAGATTTTCTATAGACCCTCAGCACAGTGAGATTGTGCCTTAGAGTTTGACATCAGGGATGTCAAACTCTGAGTGAGGATACAGAAGCAGAAGCTGTCACATTGTCAAGATGCTCTGTAGTGTTTTCAACAGCAGTGATTTTAGAGGAGATTTTAGAAATACAGCACATTTGCATAACTTCCTGGGACATGAGATAAAATGCATGTTGCTGTAAACTTGTTTTGAAAGTCTGTATTGAATCAAACACAGGATGATGCCACTTTTATTAAAAGCCACAAAATGCTCGAAGCCAATTAATACTCCACTGCTTTACTAATGCCTCTGCTCAGAAAATTAAATGGTTTCATTTAGCAAACCCAATTTTAAAGCTTTTCTGTCAAATTTATAAGTGTTTTCAACCCTTCTCTAAATCTCCTGGAATTTTCAGCACAGCATATCAAAGCATCAGTGGTTTCAAGTATTTGGAGGTACAAGGGAATTGTGCTTTCTTGGCATAGTTCATTCCAAATTCTCAAGGCACTTTACAAGGATTAGCTAGAAATAGGAAATAAAAGGTACAAATAACTGTGCAGTTTTTGCAGTGAAGGCAGATTAAGCTGTCTTGGGAACTTATGCAGTTCAACATCCTCATAAAAGGGCTGAAAAAGGGGAGACAGACAATAGTGACGCACCAAAACCTGCTGATGGTACAGAGTTATTCCAAGTAAGGCAAACTAGACATGCCTACAAAAAAGCTGGAAAAGAATCTGATAATATCGCATGTCTGGGCAATCAAATAGCTGCTGAAATTCCATGTGGATAAAAGTCAAGTGCAGGCACAATGACAGGGTTTAAATTAGCCCGCGAAGGAGGTGATGGCGTCACTGCAGATGGTTCTTGGAAAACATCTGCTCCGTGCTCAGCAGAGGTCAGGAAGGCAAGTGGAATGCTAAGAATTACTGGGAAAGAGAGGGAGAATAAAAAGGAAAATGTGAGTACAGCACTGAACAAATCCGTGGTGCTGCTCTTGAGCAGAGTGTAATTCCAGTCATCCCAGTGAAAGCAGCGGTGAAGTGGAAGTGGAAGGGATGCAGAAAAGGGTGAGGAAGCTGAGCTGGGTTATGGGATGGGTAGACCAAACCTGTGGATCTGGCTGAAGACAGGAATGAACAGGATTAACGTGTAAAATTAAGAGAGTGAATAAGGAATTATATGAGGACGCCACCAAGATGATCAGAGGGATGGAACCCCTTTCCTGTGAGGAAAGGTCGAGAGAATTGGGATTGTTCAGCCTGGAGAAGAAAACTATTTGGGGTGACCTAATTGTGGCCTTCCAGTACCTGAAGGGAGATGACAAGAAAGATGGAGAGAGACTTTTTACAAGGATCTGGAGTGACAGGACAAGGGGAAATGGCTTCACACTGCCAGAGGGCAGGGTTAGATGGGATATTAGGAAAAAATTCTAAGGTGAGGGTGGTGAGGTCCTGGCACAGGTTGCCCAGAGAAGCTGTGACTGCCCCATCCCTGGAAGTGTTCCAGGCCAGGTTGGATGGGGCTTGGAGCAACCTGGGTTAGTGGAAGGTGTCCCTGCCCATGGCAGGGGGTGGAATGAGATGCTTTTGACATCCCTTCCAACCCAAACCAGTGTATGACTCTATCTTTTTGACAGAGAATGGTGATGACATCCTCTGGTCATCCAATGGTCAGGCAAGAAGTTTAAAGCAAACAACAGGATATAAACTTTCATAGTCTATAATAAATTAAGAAAATCATCAAACACAACATCTTTTACGTGATGAAAGTACAGATTGTTTAAAAAACTAGTTGTGCTGAAGTTCTCAGCGCTGGCTTCGACATGTCAATGAGCTTGGAGGTCTTTTCCAACCTTAATGATTGCATGATTCCGTGTTCCTGCTCCAGCCCCTCTCCCAGTGTCCCAAACTGGCCATGTTCCCTCTGCAGCTGGATGAGCTTTGAGTTCTGGTTTGTTTGGCCCCTCACTGTCAGAACCTGACAGGGCTTTTGGGGTGGATTATAACAAATTAAAGGATCACTGTGATCCTGTAGCACATGGCAGTGCTGGGTTAACAATTTGAGTCATAGATCTTAGAGGGCTTTCCCAACATAAATGTGATTGTATGATCTCCCCTATGACAAAACCTACAACAATCCTCTGAATGAATGAATTCTCCTTGAAATGCAGTGGAATACTGGGGAGGGGAAATGATCCAATAGCTCCTTAAAAATTTCTTGCACAGAGTAAAAGGGTTAATTGCAGCATGGTAATGGGAGGTCCTGTCCGATGGCTCAGGCATTTTGAGATAGTGAAGACTAAAAATTCTTTTAGAACAGGATTATCATCACATTATATTTATAATTATAAAATCCTGCCTCAGTGGCAGGAAATCAATCCAGGGTGGGCTGATTTACACCTGCCAGAGCCAGCATGTCGTGAACTTCTCCGCCTTTCCCAGTGATGTTTTTATCTTCAGTCGACACAGAGAGGACAAGGAAAGTGTTTTCCCCTTTAAAATCCAAGCATTCCAGGTGTTTGGCAGAGTGTAGGAGCTTGGGGTTCCCACTGCTTCTGACAACAGGGCTGGGATCTTTTGCTAATGACCAAAGTGCAATATAATGAGTCGTCTTGGGCTTCTGCTTTATTGGGTGTTTGAACAGAGTGTTGGTGATTCTGAAAGGGATAAATGCTGTTCATGCCCCCTTGTGGTACGTTATCGAATGGAATGGGTTCCCTAACTGACAAAATGAGGCCAATGATGGAAAAGTCCCAGGTAAAAAATGTGTAACAAATACTGTTTTGCACAGTGGAAAAATCTCTCCCCCTCCAGCAGCGTCCTCATGACTCAGTTA